CAGGTATTTTGTTATAGCAACACAAATGGACTGAGATATTGTGTCAGTCTGAGATCTCTCCCCAGAACCTCAGGCAGCCCTCCTGGCCTGGCCTACTATGGTCCATGTTCTTCCTGAGGACAGGGAACAGGAGAGTCCTGAGTCCTTTCTTTTCTCCGACCCATTTCCCTCATCTCCTGATTTGACCCCCAGTCACCTTCTCTGCCGTATAGCCGCTATCTGTCCTCACACACACTGCTGCATTTGCACAAGAGTTTTGTGACTCTGAGGCTTCTGCTGCATGGAGAAGCCCCACTTACTGAATCAGGACCACGCGCCAAGCACAGTAACAGAGTCTTCACACCGCCTTGAGGTGGACAGTATCTCATCCTCACTTGATAGATGAGGAACTGAGCTTCAGAAAGAAGGTCCAGGTGTCAGAGTCACTGAACCACGCACTATCTACTGTGCACCACTGCCTCCAGCTGGGAGAGGATTTTTAGGGTCAGCCAGGCACAGTGGCTCACACCTGTAATCCTAGCACTCTGGGAGGCCGAGACGGGTGGATTGTTTGAGCTCACGAGTTTGAGACCAGCCTGAGCAAAAGTGAGACCCCCGTCTCTACTAAAAATAGAAAAACCGAGGTAAGAAGATTGCTTGAGTCTGAGTTGGAGGTTGCTGTGAGCTATGACGCCATAGTACTCTACCCAGGGTGACAGCTTGAGAGTCTGTCTCAAAAAAAAAAAAAAATTTTAGGGTCAAAAGGGTATAAAATGAAAAAATCTCCCTCCTTCATCTCTCTGTTGACATCATTTGTCAACAGTTATTAGTTTTAGTTATAATGACTAAAAAAGGCAACACACACACAAAACTTTTCACTTTACACAACATGATCTTATTCTACACACTGTTTTATAAACTGCTTACTTTTCTTCTTAATATTATATGAGATTTGGCTTGGTGCTTGTGGCTCAAGTGGCTAAGGCTCCAGTCACATACACCTAAGGTGGCGGGTTCGAATCCCCAGCCCGGACCCGCCAAACAACAATGACGGCTGCAACCAAAAAATGGCCGGACGTTGTGGTGGGTGCCTGTGGTCCCAGCTATGGGAGGCAGAGGCAGGAGACTCGCTTGAGCCCAGGAGTTGGAGGTTGCTGTGAGCTGTGATGCCAGGGCACTTTACGCAGGGGGATAGCTTAAGGCTCTGTCTCAAAAAAAAAAAAATAGTATATGAGATTTTTCCACATCAGCACATGTAAGAAACTCAAATAAGGTGGCACCTGCAGCCCAATGCGTAGGGCACCAGCCACATACACTGAGGCTGGCAGGTACAAACTCGGCCCAGGTCAGCTAAAACAACAATGACAACTGCAACAAAAAATAGCTAGGCATTGTGGCAGGTGCCTGCAGTCCCAGCTACTTGGGAGGCTGAGGCAAGAGAATCACTTCAGCCCAAGAGTTTGAGGTTGCTGTGAGCTATGAAGCCACTCTAGGGTGAAGGAAGGAAGGGAGGGAGGGAGGGAGGGAGGGAGGGAAAGAAAAGAAAGAAAAGAAGGAAGAAAAGAAAGGAAAGAAAAGAAAGAAACTCAAATAGTTTTCTGTCTCATTCAAAATAAAATCCAAGTCCTTACTTTGGCTGAAATAGTCTGATGCTGACACCCAACAAAGATAAGAAAGGAAAATTATAAGCCCATGTCACTCATGAACATAGATGTAAAAATCTTAAACTAAATAGTATAGTTGCCTTCCAAAATACTACTAAGCCAAACCCAGCAACACACAGAAAGGATACTACATCATGACCAAGATGGGTTCTTTCCAGGAAGTGCAATGTTAACTTAACATTCAGAATCTGTGTAATTCACACATTAATAAAAGATAAAACCATCTGATAAAATCCTACACATTCATAACAAAATTGGAAATAGAGGGAACTTCCTTAACCTAATGAAGGGAATCTATAAAGTCTATGGTTTGGGTATCTATTTCTTGATTTGGTCACTCAGGTATGGTTACTTTGTGATAATTAAGCTATGCACATATAAGATGGATACTCTACAGTTATGTGCATTGTACTTCATTTTGAAAGATTATAGCAAATTTATAAGAAAAAGATATATAAATCTTCCCAATAATTTCAGAAGATTACAGGGTCCAGCCAGGACTTAGGAGCTGACAAAGACAAGAGATAGAAATTGGGTGGGATGAGGCTTGGTGCCCGTAGCACATGGTTACGGTGCCAGCCACATACACCAAGGCTGGTGGGTTCAAACCCAGCCTGGACCTGCTAAACAACAATGACAACTGCAACAAAAACAACAACAACAGGCTCAGCGCCTATAGCTCAACCGGCTAAGGCGCCAGCCACGTACACCTAAGGTGGCGGGTTCGAATCCAAAAATTTTAGGGTCAAAAGGGTATAAAATGAAA